TGGTTCAGTTTTTTTTTTACTTTTACATGACTAAAGTGCAAAAATATACAAAATGTTTGTTGTTTCAAGGTTCCTTGAAACTGTTGTTTTCTTATCCTATTCTTTGCTTTAACTTTTTTAAAAGAGACAAAGGCTCGGTTGATGGATGATCATATCAGAGACAGAACTGCATTATTGGTACTGGTAGTGGTACTGCAGTACATACTGCAGCGATTTTGCAAGTACTGGTACTGATACTGAATTACTCTTACAAAATGTTGCTCCTACTGGTACTGGTACTGCATTACTGTCTTAAAAAGTGGTACTGCTACTGCATTACAAGGCAGTACTTTGGTTTTGATAAAAATTGCATCAATTTTTCTCATAAAGTAAAGCTGTAAATTCCATGTATTATTTTATTTTTGTGAAAAAGTAAGTTATCAAATCTGTGGATAATTTGCTGCAATATTACTTCAAATGTTAACATAGTATTCATTATAAAAAGAAGCACCAAAGACTTGAAGTAAAAAGTAAATTGAGATAAACAGACTCAATGTCTCTTTACCTTAAAACATCCTTATTACAATCTTTTCTTACTATGTATTTACTAGTATAAAAGAGCAAAATATATAGATTTAATTAGTTGCTTCGCAACAAAAGACTTTTGTGTTTTAAATGAAAGATGATTGCATTGTGTTACTTAACAATACGATATCACATGAATATATGTTGTAAACATTGTTTGTAAAAAGTATGTTCAATCATTTAAGTTGTAAAAAGGTAATGTTAACTTTAAAGTAAATAATTATTTTATTTCTTTGCTGAATAATGTTTGCAATTATTTTGTTTGACACTGGTGTATTTATTCAAACTTTGGTGAATATATAAAAGTAATGGTACTGATTCTTAATTACTTCCCCCCAAAAAGTACTGGTATTGCAGTACCGAGCTAAAATCTAGTACTGGTACTGGTAATGGTACTGCATAACTTGGCAAGTACTGGTACTTAAGTACAACACCCTTAGTACTGATGCAGCCCTGATCAGAGAACGGATATTCGACTTTAGTTTTCCGACAATTGATTTATCTTAAAAAATGAATAAACACCATTCGTTAAAAGAGATTTTTACCTAAAGTACTCGTAAATATGCCAATTTAGATATGTTCGTTAGCTTTAACTATCTCACACCTTCAGTGTAATAAATAGTTAACTGGCTGTTATTGTATGGCATTTTTCCGACTTTTCTGCTTGTGTAACTTCATCACCGGGCACATCGAATGGGTTGCCTAACCCTTCTGCTTTCTCGGTAAGCAACTATGCGCAATTTTTTCTAAGTTACAGACAACTCTTTTTAGAACAATGTCTTTTAATATGGCACAATAAATGGTATAAAATATGTAAGCATAGTAAAATTTTATTTTCAGTTGAAAATAATACTCAATGTTTGAAATGTGTTTTTATCATTATTGCCATGTTTCCAATTTTTTGTCATGTTTGCCTCCATTCTTATCATCGTGCAAGCTCAATTTATGTACAGGTTTTTATCTATATCATCTGATTGTTGTCGACAAAAACATTTAATATTTTTATTTACAACACACTATTTGAACTTTAAATGTCAATGACGTCTGTCTCAAGAAGGTAAGCTGAACATTACACCATACCTATTAGCACATTAATGGTACTAAAAAAGGTATGTTTATGTGACAAAGATAAACGATTTTCTTAATGTTTACTGATGTTTTAAGTTTCATCGTCATCAGGAACAGAACATGTGGTTCGGTTATTTTTACTTTTACATGACAAAAATGCAAAAGTATACAAAATTTATGTTGTTTCAAAGTTCTTTGAAACTTTTTGCATTTAGCCCATTCTTTGCTTTCCCAATAACAGAGCACATTTAAAAGGGGCAAAGGCTCGGCTAACGGATGAAAATATCAGAGGATAACGGAGATTCTACTTTAGTTTCCCGACAATTTATTTATCTAAAAATGAGTTAACACCATTCGTTGAAAGAGATTTGTACCTAAAATACTCGTACATATGCTAATCTAGATATTTTCATTAGCTTTAATTACTTCACACCTACCGCAGCTACAGGAAGCTATAAGCTAACAACCACAATCCCGAAACCGGTCCTGGAGCCGACCAGTTGGTCAAGTTTCTTGTTGAGTGAAGCAACGGCTTTCCTCTGACATGGTATGAAGCCTAATGGTTAGAAATCCTTAGATAACAAGGTATTAAACCATTATCAATTTCCATAATGACTAAAGCAAAAAAAAAAAATGAAAAAATATTTTTTCAACTTTTCAGGACAACAACGTGACTCAAATACTCCAAGGAACGATTACATGCACGGATTTGACTTAAGATTAAAATGTGTTAAAGGCGTAAAAAGGTTCATTAGTCAATATGGAAAACTGTAAGAATATACATGTATATGATAGTGATATTTTTACAAGCAGCTTTACATATTCTTTTGATATATTTCGCTTCCATTTTCAGGTTTTACATGATCACATTTCTTCCAAACAGAAACTGATTATGTTTTGAACAAAATAATATTTCTAACCACGTAAATTTGTCCTTGCAATTTTATCTACATTTAGTTTATTCAGCACATATGGTATTTTTGTTGGACAGTAAAAAGGGAATTCACCTGTCAGATTCCTTTTTGTATACATATTACTAAGTGATATAATGTAAGACCTAAGACATTTGTTAATGGCTTTGGTAAATATAAAGTACATACAACTTTAGAGACTCTGTGCTCATAATGTGATTTGTAAAAGTGCAGTTCTATTATTGACTGTAATTTGCAAAATATCGTTCAAGGTTGCAAGATTTAATGGAAAGAGCCGAGGTAGAGTGAAAATATATGAGCCGCGTTATGACAAAACCAACATAATGGGTTTGCGACCAGCATGGATCCAGACCAGCCTGCGCATCCGCATAGTCTGATCAGGATCCATGCTGTTCGCTTACAAACCCTATAACAAGTAGAGAAACTGATAGCGAACAGCATTGATCCTGATCAGACTGCGCGGATACGCAGGCTGGTCTGGATCCATGCTGGTCGCAAACGCATTACGTTGGTTTTGTCATGATGCGGCTCAATTATTATGTAAAATACAATTTAATCATGTATTCCAAATAAACCGTTATTTCTCTAAACAGCGTTTCAATTTATATTACAAATAAGCAACTTAGACTTTCAAACGATTCTGTCATGCATACCAGTGAAGCCGTCGTAGCACATAAATGCATGTATCAAGTGATTTTCAAACTTGATTTTGGTGTTCTTGAACATAATTTCCATGTAAGTGCCAATATGAAAATGTATCCACGTGAGATAGTTGAAAAGATTTCTTAGAAAAAAATCTAGAATACTCCTAATAATACGTTTTAAAGCACGATTATGATATTCGAATTGACGAACACCTAATACTTTTGTCTGATGTGAATCTGCAAATTTGCATTTCCTTCTCAAAATATTGCTTTTAACAAGATCATTTAAGGTTGTCTTAAGAATAAGGGATTAAGGATTGTAATCAATTCAGGAATGCTTATTGTAGCTTAACAGCTATAGTGAATCTTCCAATTATCTAACTTATTGTTACCAGAAAAATGTCATTTAATGTTAAATATGCCTTACATTAGTATACCTCTTTGAGTATTGCATCGGCTTGTTCTTACTGGTGATAGATGGTCGCTCTTAATGTGCCAGTCTCTAACATTATACAACAAAACACAGCAGTAAAATGCAAGAAAAAATTCCTTGAAGTAAAGATAAAAATTCTTTCTAAGTTACCTAATGATTATGGTTAGTATCACTTCTGATACAGAAAAGACTTGAATATAAATTATCACGTTTAATTGATTTGAAATGAGTTTCGGGTATTCGGGTATATCAAATTCTATGTTCCCATTTTAACCAATTCAGTTCGAATTCCGCCTTGCAAGGATTACGGTGTGTGGAAGGTGTGTGGAAGGTAGCATTGGTAGTTTGTGACGGCATTAAATAGCTTCAATTTAAGTTCGTTTAACAACTTATAACTAAGTGCTAAATTGAATGCAACGGTTATGAAAAAGTGGTGGTGGTTGTGATGGTGGAGTTGGTAGTTTTCACTCCAGATCATGGCAGTAAGCCACATTGAATTTTCCAGAGCACAGATCAGCCACCGCATCATTCCTGGGCAGGCTGTCAAGCACTTAACCAGTACCAGTTGCCTTCACTTTCGCAAGGAACTGATAACTTTTGTACTTCTGTACATGCCAGAGCAGACGAACAGTGCGAGTGACTGTAGGAAGGATTTCATGATCAATCACAACGAAAGAGAACTGCGCCGTCCGGGCCAACGCTCTACCTATTGGACTAACCGGACGGCTCTTGAAAAAGTTGTCCTTGCTTCATCTCAATTTATACTGGTCTTTCAGAATAACAGATTCCGTTACTTTCAATGTAGAAGATTGTAAGCTCATGTGGGAAAGCAAAGCGGATGGAATTTGCCTCATTAACAAATGTGGGACCAGATAGATGAACAGAATTCCCAATTTTCATCAATCTGTTTGCTTTTGTTGCTCTCAAGAAACATCCCCTTTTCAATATTTTATATAAAATCTACTGCCGATTGCCGGAAATTACCGGTATAACGTCATATTTATAAACCATATAATTATATAAATAGTTTTTGAGGAAATGGGAATCGTAAAGGCCAAACTACACAGAAATATATATAAGGTTCAGTTTGATTATACTTGTTCTTGGAGAGCGAGTGTAATAACGCATGCTACTGGCAACATTTTGGCACTTGTTTAGATAAAATTTAACGAAGAAAAATACAAATTTACATAAATTGAAGCATTAGTATTTGCCCATGTCAGCCGGGATCATGAAAAAAAAATGAGATGGCACTTCATTCCTGGTTTGTTCAAAGCAAATCTATTTTATAATTAGAAAGTATCAAAATTTCCCTTCTTTGAATTTCTTTCTATCAATAAGAATAAAACAACACATAACAATTTTGACATAATTTTGGTATTTTATTTACCATATATCGTAAACGAGTCGATACCGTATAGTAATATCACAAGCTCAACATTTACACTGTGGCAAAACACACGTTACATTACACCTTACCAGAAATATTAAAAGTATTTGGCATATAACCCTAAACACTACATTACTATACTTGTGTACCACTACTGATCAACTTGCTGTCATTATGAATGCTGACATCATATTTAAGCAACTGTCAAGTTCTGAGTGAACGTCGGTGAACGTCGCCTTGCCTTGTTGATCCTTGTTCTCATTCCTTTTAACAATAACGAATCTTTACCATTGTGCATCCAATGTAACACTGACCTTTGACATAAATGAGACCACTCTGGGAAATTCTATTTATTAAATGCAATCATTTGTGCAGTATTTTGAGTGATTAATGATGTGATAATTATGGTAACTTTAAGTAACTGTCATCTTTGAGTTATAGAATAGATGATATTAACAAAGGGGTAACAGTGTGATAAAACCAAAATTAACCGTTCATCATACAATGAGACCTTGAACTTTGAAACACTGAATCTTGGTACTGTTTATGTTAAATCCTAATACTAATAATATTAATAGAAAGTCACACACTAGTATCTAAACACAATTCTAGAATATACAAATAAACGTTTCACACATTCAAAATTTGCTGTGTATCAAAAATTACATAGCATTCAAGTTTATTCTTTTCAATTTAAATATTCATAAAACTTCACGATACATAACGTTCTCTTTTATCATATCAAAAATGTCTTTATCTCTTATAGACAATAGTAAGTTTAATGAAGTGTTATGTTATACAACATGTATATTTACACTATGGAAAGTATACAATATGAATGAAATTACCCCAACTGGATAGCACTTCGTCACTAAATAATAATGCTCATATCAGATTAACTTCCTAATAATTTATCATTTCTATATTTATTCATCCTGTACTTAGACCTGATATTTCTCTATCAATCAACTGCTAGGATATCAGTCTGCATTGTCTTAAACCTTAGGACCCCCCCCCCCCCCCCGCCAAAATTCCACTGATTTGTCTACAGGCTGACAGCTAGACAGCATAAAAATGGGGGCATAAAAAAGCTAATCAGTCCATTATACATTCCTGTTTAGAGCACCTCACTAGGTTAGAAGTTTCTCTTGGATATCTCGTTAGTCTATTTCTATATCTAATTAGCTAAGTCAGAATAACTGCAACAAGCAGAAAGAGTACACACATACTTTATAAGTTGAGCATCAACTTTGAAAAGAACTCAACCATTGGTCTACTTTTTCAAAATCACTTTTCAGTAAACCAATCAGGTGCTTGAAAATAATTTGTATCGCTAACAAGTTATCTGAACCCTTAACCAAAAAACTGTTCTCAACAGAACTTTATTTACACTTACTGTATGAACAACACAAATAGGAATTACTTCAATAAGTAATATCTATGATTCAGAGGCAATACATAATAACTAAATAACTTAAAGTTTATGATATCTATCTTCTGCATAGTATGTACAATATTTACAGGATTATATTTTCTAATGATTATATAAAATATAATTCTATTTACAAAATATCATATTTATAATACAAAATAATATAAATGGATTTACTAAAACACAGTCACATAACTCTTGACAAGAGTAATATGATGAAAACATATTATGATACCAACATCAGCAAATATGTTTGTTTTATCAAAGTATTCTTATTATTATCATCAACAACATCATCATCTTCAGTACCATCATCATCATTTTTATTATGTAATTATCATCATTATTGTTATTATGCAAATTTGTAGACAGTTTTTTTCTCCAAATCCTGGCCCAATGTACTACAAATGTAATTAAACTAAAAGGCACCTTAACTGTGCTAAAAATTAAACTTTAAACTAAGAAAAATGTTATACTTATGAAAATGAAAAAAGTGATATTTGACAGACAATATTACCTAAAAGGATACAATTTATCATAATTTCATTAAAACTGGTATCAAACATTTTTCTAAATTCAGCTTAGTTGCATTTTACAAGCTTTATTTTTTTAAATAAGAATCAACAATAACCTTAAGTGAATGCCTGTTTTCAATTTGAAATATTATGCTTTGTATAAGAATGTACCTATTTTTTCTACCAGCACCCAATTGTATAACGTTTATACAATTGGGTGCAGAGAGTAAGGTTTAGAACTTTAAATGTTAAACATGGATTCAAATCAAGCAGACTATGTATTATAAATACAACGTAATTAGAGGACAGTAGAAGAAGAATACAACATAATCTGGGATTTGTAAGGTAACAATACATATACATACTGAGCAATATTTGATAATACCAGATCAAAGTACTTTTAATGTAAATCAAATAATAAACAATTACCACTTTTTATATCATTACACTATTAACAAAATTATAACTTGGACAAAAAAACCTGAAGAACTTATCTAACAGAAACAATTTCTTTTTACCCTTAATATGCAGGATCTAAAATGTGTTGAACTTTAGCTACAAGTATAGAGCCAGGCCAGTCTGTGCATCTGTGCAATCTGACCAGATTCTTTACTGTTGAAAGCTCAATTTTTAAAATTTTGTTCATGAAATCTCTTAAAATTCAAATAGACTATTCAAAATTTAATGCATGGCATATCCATTACACAAATTTAGCAAGTTAAGGGTTAAAATGATGAAGATTGTGCCAATAAGTTAAAAAAAAATCAAATTCAAGAAATATGAAAAATAGCTGAATAAAAAAATTATATAAGAAACAAAACTTAAAATTCAATGAAACAAAAACATTTATTAGAATTATTCTGAAAAACAGAAAAACAACAGATTTTCTTATTACATTATTACATTAACAACAACAATGGCAGGTGTATCTAGGCGTGGTTGTAGCTACCGCTGGTGTCGGAAAACAACAACAACTATTCCAAGAGCTATTGCTAAAAACGTTGCTAGGTAAATATCCCAGTATGGTCCTAACTGGTATCGTATATCCAATTTATTAAAAAATGTGTAGTAATTCTCCATCTGAAATATATACAAGTACTTTTGAGCCACGCCATGACAAAACCAACGTAATGCATTTGCAACCAGCATGGATCCAGACCAGCCTGCGCATCCGCACAGTCTGATCAGGATCCATGCTGTTCGCTTACCAACTCTATTACAAGTAAAGAAACTGATAGCGAAGCAACACACATGTCCAGATGTTTAAAACAAATCTTAAAGAAATCAAACTTGAGAAAAATTAGAAACATTTATAACTTACTAATAGCCAGCCCAAGTGAAGCTTTCAACATACAAAATGTATATTAAACAGAACAGGACCGAAATTACTTTTTTAGCATCAATTCTACCCTGTCACAGTTTAATTGAAATTCCTGCATATTTTAACAAGCTGTAGGTAATTTCTGTGAACAGTAAGTGTCTTAGGCTAGCTTAATTCACTTAATTTGTACTCTTGACAATATATTTACTCATCTGAAGAATTTTTAAAGTTTTCACAAATATGTTCACAAATCTGGACGTATGGTGCTTTAAACAATATAATCACATCTAAACTAATTTTATAATCATTTTATATATCATTATTTAGTTTGTGAGATTATCATACTACTTGTACATTTATTGAGTTTTACAGCAAAATTTCCTTAACCTAAATTTTTGTTATAAATATTGACTTTCATTGTTATTTAATTTGATTAATAAAACTAGTTTACATCAATTTTTTGAAGAATTACTTTCTTCATTCATTCATTACAAAAATGATTTTTAATTATCAAAACATCTTCCATTTCAATGGTAAATTAAGTAAACATATGTTGTTTTATTTGAAAACCTAGCAACAGTATGCCAACAACACAGTCTGATCCATCAACTTAAAATATGATACCTTTCTAATAGATTTTCAATTTTTATACAATTTAATATAAAATACCTTAAAAATGAATATCTCTAAAATCAGAGCAAAGAATTACACAAATCTAGAGAGAAAAGGTTTTAAATAACTTACCTCTTTATTAAATACATCTGTTCCATAAAACATGCCCAGTTTAAATAATGCTAAGGTTACTGGAACATATGCATCAACACTGGTCTCAGCTGCCATATCATAAAACCTCTTTGCGAGATGGACATCCTAGTTAAACAGACATACATAAATTATTTCACACTGACATACAAAAATTACATAGACATACTAACATAATTGAACCCTTACCATACCATGCTAAATACCTGAATAAACTGAGTAAATAGAACCAAAATGTTTTACTTCACTGTTAACAGCACAAACAGCATTAAGTTTGACCAGCACTGTTTTAGATTAAGAATACCAAGTAATAGAAAGCCAAAAAGTTATATTGTCATATACTAAAGGAATATTACATTATGCAGGATATGAACTTCAAAGTGTCGCATTTAAAAGGGAACTTCTCAAGTTATCCATCTCTTGACTCAATATAGAAATATTCATGGCAATAGTAATCTACAAGTACATTAACCAGCTCTATTAGGTCAATTATTTGCATTATCTAAATGAAATCAACACTATATAAGTTTTCATATTCATCATAGGGAGAACAAACTTTTCCTAAAACATCTATACTTCTTCAGTAGACTTGTGTTCTTTAGACATAAATTCAATTTTTTAATGTTTAAGAATATAACAACAATAGAATACTTTACAATACATTTTGTAAATTGATAACCAACCTGTTTTAGACCAAGACCATTTTCATGCATGTATCCAAGATTAAACATGGCTTGTGCATTATGCTGTTGTTCTGTAGCAAGTCTGTAGTGTGTGGCAGCTGTCTCGTAATCTATATCTGTACCGTAACCGTAGTAATGATAGTCACCCATCTTTAAACGTGCTATTGTAGAACCTGTACAATAAAAATATGTATTAATATTTATACCTTTTTTAAGAATAAAGCATTTGATATATCATTAAGTCAAGTGAACATATTAATTCATCTCTTGATCTGTATCTGAAGGTGGAAATAAACAGCAACAGAAATCTTGCATGTATTGTAATAGCAAGACAGAGTATTGTACTTATTTCTTTAAAGTGTATTAAGCCTTATATCTGCTGTCTGTAGTAAACAAATTTTTGTGTGTGTGTGTGCTTTATTTTTGACAAAGAATAATTCCTTATTTAATATCTGTATGAAAGAAATATGTTTGAATTTTTCCTTTAATCTAAATGGCATATGCCCAAATCGTTGATTAACAATAATCCAAATCCCCAAACTTAGAACAGCAAACATTTTCCACAAAAAATGACAAATGGTTTGTCCAGATTGAAAGATGGACAAGTTTATTTAAGATATTTAACAGGATAATTTGTAAATGAAATAGTTAATATTGCCTTGTGATGCTGCACGTGTCCAATGTAACAACGCCCTCTGATATGTCTCTTTCTGGTCAAATAGAGTGCTCTCCCCTGAAAATAATCCATTGTTTCATTAACTTTTCATAACATAAATATTGCTTAATTTGGTCTGTAAATGATAATCTAAAGTATCTGTTTCTAAAACAAATATATAATTATATAAATAATCTAAAGTATCTGTTTCTAAAACAAATATATAATTATATAATTAACAATTTTAATCACTGTCAGTATAAATTACTAAAATCAACATTATCATTTAAATTCAAAAGACACAGCTTAAAAATAACCAATTTTTTAACACTTACTTTTTAAAAACTAAGAAGTAAACGAAACTTTTCAGTTATTAATAAAGAATATCAATAATTAATTATTTTTCTAATTAATAATTCAGAAAGTGCAAAACATAAGCTCTTTTTATTTCAGCATACTGGGGATTAGTCTAGACATGAAATTACAAGCAATTACCCTACTATATAAAACCACATTAAAAACTTATCACTTTTGCAATATTGAGCACCTACTTTATACTTTACGTCTTCATTCTCTATGTCATTAAACTCTCAAAAGCTAAACAAAATCACTGTCCTCAGAAGTGCAATAACCTTATACAATTCGAAGAGCTCTTTATTTTACATTTTAGGAATGAGGAAGCAATTTAAAATAAATTGTCTGAAGATTTTTATTTGCACCTTATTTCAGCAGGAAGTAACCTAACAATTTCTATTAGATACTGTTCGCTATTCAGTCAGTACATATTTTAATTTTTTCATTTAAAATGATGAATGGTTTGTCCAGATGGAAAGACAAAGAAGTCCTTCTGGGATAATTAATTGGTTAGAGGTTAAACAAATGGTTCTACATGCAGTACTCTTACACTGAAATCAGTCCCTCACCTAACCCTCTTAATAAATGGCACAGGTGTAAATAAAAAAAAAACAAGGAAAATATAGAAGTATACCATTATCTAAAATATAGGCAACATTAGACTGTGCCACTTCATATCCCATCTCAGCTAGGAATGTGTACTTCAGGAGAGCTTCATTAACATTACCATTCTTATATAACTCATGGGCATCAACCAACATGCTAGCCCATTTCCCTCGCTCCGCTACATTCTTGTACAACTAAAATAGAAAACAAAATCTTTATTTTTCAAAAAACTCTCAAACAAATGATCATTAATTGCCAATTTAACAAAATTGTTTATTGGCTTCATAATGACAATCAATTTTCTATTGAGAGAATAAGAATTTGTGAAATAGTCAGTTAAATAAAAAGATAGTTATGAAAAACTGGCATTAGTCCAACACCCTATCACCTATTTGCATGTTAAAATAAAATCATTTACAAGAAAACTAACTCTGTAAAATAGACCAAGGATTACAGAGGAGCAGTCTTAAAACAGGAGCTGAAAGTAGAAAATTGAACTCAAATATTTTCAGTGCTTGACAGTAAACAAGAGCCTGGTTAATTAAGAAATTAACAAAGTGGAAGATTTCATATGAATTACCTTGCATAGTTATAAGTCTTGGATATTGATCAGTGAAGTTTTTATGAACTTTAAAAAAAGTTCACAAAAGGTCAGTCATATTTCATTCAAAATCAATGCAAGTGTTATGCATCACAGACAGTACCCTCCAATTATGATCACAAAGACATGTTTAAGTTTCAAGTGAATGCTATAAGTTTTTAAAATGGGTGCTGCACGGGAATTTTGTAAGTTCACAAAGCACTCAATTCAGTCAAAATCGAAGTTAGAGTTATGGGTTAGTGACCTCTTGTCATGTCAGCATGATACTGTACAAGATAAGAAGTTGCATGTCAAACTATAACCAAAGTGTGGTATGCCGATACCAATGCTGACAATGACAACCGTACAATGAGTGTCAAAAAAGTTTTTTTCTTTTCTACTTTACCAATTTTAGCATTAAATTACCAGTATTCTTCCAAAACTAAAGTACAAACTCTTTGCAGTGTAACAAATCATACCTTACTTTAATATAAAAGTTCTATTCATCTCTAAAGTGGGGTTAAGAAAATCTAAGAGTATTAAAAAAATTGCATTACAGGAAGCAGTTCAAACAGATTTCTAGGAATAACAAGTAATAACACTCATTTAAGTATGAACTAGTCACAGAATCAATTTCAATATAACTTAATAAGGATTCCCTTCAATTTCACTTCATTATTTTGAAGTCACACAACCTTCTGGAGAGCAATTGAGGAAATTCAGTGAGAAACTCTTTAATTATCATGGTTTTTTTTATATATTTCTAGTAGAATTACCAGCATATTGTGTCACCTTACATCTCTTATAAGATATTGATGTTGTACTGGTAATTATAAATTAAACTTGCATCTGCACACTATACATAATTCCAGATACTATCATATATTATGTTAAAAATACTGGCAGCTGTAATCTATAAACAGATACTGGCAGCTGTAATCTATAAACAGATACTGGCAGCTGTAATCTATAAACAAATACTGAGATCTGTAATCCAAAAACAGATACTAGCATCTGTAATCCAAAAACAGATACTAGCATATGTAATCCAAAAACAGATACTAGCATCTGTAATCCAAAAACAAATACTGGCATCTGTAACCTAAAAACAGATACTCACATCTGAACTCTATTAACAGATACTGACATCTGTAATCTATAAACAGATACTGGCGTCTGTAATCTACGAGGCTTGTCCAAAAAATTTGTGCACAGCAGTTATTGTCGTGAGAGTTACTGATAAATAAAAAACATGAATTATATATAAGAATATGTAAATACCTGATAATTTTACATGGAAACTTACCTCGACAGCTGTATGGCAATTTCTTAGGACACCAGTTCCTGTAGCATGCATCTGTGCTAGATGATAGAATGCCAGGACATGACCACCTTGTGATGCTAGGTTGAAATATTTTACAGCTACTTTATAATCTCTCCTCACACCTTTACCACCTAATTATAACAAAAATTATACTTAACCTATATCATTTATTAACAAAAACTTTGATTTCAAGGCATAAAATCTTTCATAAGTATTGTGATTTCAGCATTTCAAGCATTTTTTTTATCATTAGTTTAAATCAATATACTGGTCATTACATAGATATAACCAAATATTCTAATGTTAATATTTTAACACTAAATTACAACACATGTCAATACAATGCAGTTTAATAACTTTATTAGTTTTCACTATTAATCTAATTAGATCCGTAATCCCATGATGTTTCCTCCACCTGTAATTTCAGAGAGTTCAAATATATTTATCAATATTCTAGAATTTAATTTTGTTTGTAAATGCAACAAATTATTTTGCCATAGTCTGTGGCTTAAAAGGTTAGTTTCTGTAGGTGAACACTATCTTATTTTTACGCACTCTCTAAAATCAGGTTAGTTATATATATATATCTAATTACAACGGCTGCACGTTTAATTGACAATCCTTATTTAAATAAGTCAGCAATAACTACTAGTTACATCAATAAAATAGATATGATTTACTATTTAATAACATCAGGAGTGTTTTACATAAACAAGAGGGCCATGATGGCCCTGAGGTTGCTCACCTGTATATAGGCCGGAGCGGGGCCAGTTTAAACCCCAGGGCTTTTATTTGAGCAAACTTGGAAGACACTCATTAGAAGATGTTTCATGATGTTAAGTTTTTACTACACACATATAATGAAAAACAATGACCTCCGCCACCCCCCCCCCCTTTGGCAGGGCCAATTTAAACCCAAGGGCTTTTATTTGGACAAACTTGGTAGACACCAACAAAAAGATGTTTCCTGCTTAAAATCTAACCTCTAGCTCATTGGGTTTTTTAAAAGAAGATTTTTTAAGTTTTTACTATACACATATAGTAAAAACAATGACACCTCTGGGGCGGGGCCAGTTTTAACCCCAGGGCTTTTATTTGAACAAACTTTGTAGACACTTACTAGAAGTTGTTTCATTCTTAATATCTAAACTCTAGCTATTTGGGTTTTTTTCAAAGAAGATTTTTAAGTTTTTGCCATACACATATAAGGAAAATCAATGACCCCCGGGCGGGGCCAATTTTGACCCCAGGGCTTTTATTTGAACAAACTTTGTAGACACCCATTAGAACATGTTTCATGCTAAATATCTTAGCTCTAGCTCTTTGGGTTCTTTAAAAGAGATTTTTTTTAGTTTTTACTATATGCATATAGGGAAAATCAATGACCCCCTGAGGCGGGGCCAATTTTGACCCCAGTGCTTTTATTTGAACAAACTTGGTAGAAACTCACTAGAAGATGTTTCATGCTTAATATCTAAACTCTAGCTATTTGGGTTTTTTCAAAGAAGATTTTTTAAGTTTTGCTATACACATATAAGGAAAATCAATGACCCCCGGGCGGGGCCAATTTTGACCCCAGAGCTTTTATTTGAACAAACTTTGTAGACACCCATTAGAACATGTTTCATGCTAACAATCTTAGCTCTAGCTCTTTGGGTTCTTTAAAACAAGATTTTTTAAGTTTTTACTATATGCATATAGGGAAAATCAATGACCCCCTGGGGCGGGGCCAATTTTGACCCCAGGGCTTTTATTTGAACAAACTTTGTAGACACTCACTAGAAGATGTTTCATGTTTAATATCTAAACTCTAGCTATATGGGTTTTTTCAAAGAAGATTTTTTAAGTTTTTGCTATACACATATAAGGAAAATCAATGACCCCCGGGGCGGGGCCAATTTTGACCCCAGGGCTTTTATTTGAACAAACTTTGTAGACACTCATTAGAACATGTTTCATGCTAAATATCTTAGCTCTAGCTCTTTGGGTTCTTTAAAAGAAGATTTTTTAAGTTTTTACTATATGCATATAGGGAAAATCAATGACCCCCTGGGGCGGGGCCAATTTTGACCCCAGGGCTTTTATTTGAACAAACTTGGTAGACACTCATTAGAAGATGTTTCATGCTAAATATCTTAGCTCTAGCTCTATGGGTTCTTTAAAAGAAGATTTTTTAAGTTTTTACTATATGCATATAGGGAAAATCAATGACCCCCTGGGGCGGGGCCAATTTTGACCCTAGGGCTTTTATTTGAACAAACTTGGTAGACACTCACTAGAAGATGTTTCATGCCAAATATCTAAGCTCTAGCTCTTTGGGTTTTTTAAAAGAAGATATTTAAAGTTTTTTCTTTTGGTTGCCATGGCAACCAGAGTTCTGCATGGAATTAAATTCTTTGAACAATTTTTAAAGGTGACCACCAAAGGAACATTCCTGTGAAGTTTGGATGAAATTGGCTTAGTGGTTTATGAGGAGATGTCATTTAAAGTAAAAGTTTACGGACGGACGCCGGACGGACGATGGACAGACGGACGCCGGACGAAAAGCGATCACAAAAGCTCACCCTGTCACTTTGTGACAGGTGAGCTAAAAAGAAATAAAGTTAAAATATCAAGAATAATTTGAATACTGAATATCACATAGTACATTGTAACCAGTGCACTTTAGACTATTAATTTTAAGTTTATGACAATCATTCTGTAAATGTTTGGTTGAAATTTCTTAAGAAAACAAACAATTTGAAGGCAATGTTTTTGCCAAGATGCCTGCCTCCAGACATTTATTAATCTTATAACCAAAGTTTTTTGTCTGAAATTCTGGTTTAAAATCTATAAAATAGAACAATAAAAAATCCAGCCCACATACCAAAATGCATAATTCCGAGATGAAGTTGGGCGTCTGACCACCCTTGATCGGAGGATTGAGTGAAATATTTCAAAGCTTTTTGATAGTCCTGAAATAAATTTAATATTTCTTTAGAAGTGGTGAATATACTTCATCAATTTTATTCAATAAATGAAACAAACAAGTGGGTTGATATCATCTTCTATCAATATAACTTCAAAGGCAAACAATTTAATCTGGTATCTTTATGTTTCAGCAGTTACATCAATCTTGTGATGACATCATGATTTCCAGAACAAGATTAAACCATTAATAACTTTCATATAGTCTGACATTTACAAAGTATATTAATTTGATACTATTTTATCAACGTAAATTTGTGCTTCATTAGATGGCAGACAACTGTTATTGCAAACTTTAATCATGTTTAATAAACTTATATATAGATGTAACATTAGCCAAACCCAAAAAGTAGTTACAAAAAAACATTTTATGTGTTGTAATAGCACACATCATTTCACATATTGCCTTCCATACTTCACAGATATATGTTATGTTATTAATAAACAGTGAGAAATCTGCTATCTCCTTTATTAATGATCCTATCCAACTTTCATTTTTGGAACCGACCATTATCAATTTATTTGGGTATCAGGATGAAAATTTAGAAGTTGATCAGCAAATTATAGTGCCTGGTGACACTGCACCGGTTTGCAGCTTGCCCTTCACAAAATGTAATTGCCCTGCATTTCCACAGACAAAAATAGTTAAAATAAAAAACACATGAGTCGGACAACTTGAATTTACCATTTACCGGTCTATACTGGTATAAATGGCTTTATTCAATTACAAATTGTTTATAATACTTTATAATACTTTTCATACTTTTAATATATAATCTTCAACATAGCCTGCTAGGATTTTCATTTGTCAGGTATTACTATATTACATATGCAGTTTGATTGTTTACCAAATACCGTCATTTATACATCATATGGATCAGCAGAATCTTACTCGCCCTAACTGTCAAGTTAGATCAACTTTTTTCTCACCTGACCCGAACTTTCACTTGCAAATACAAGCGGGCAAGTGGATTTGTCAAAGCCTTGACTAAACTGGTGGCAAAAGTTAATCACTCTAGATTTCATAAAACAGAGTATTCAATGCACCTAACCTTGCCTATTATAAATTTGTAAAGCAGACTAGTCTTGCTTAAAATTTCAAACAGATAAAAGGGAGCATAACTCCAAAAATATTGCTATCAGAATTATACCCTTTGTCTAACAACTGCACCTTGTCATGATAAGCAACTATTCCAAGTTTAATGTTGATGACTTTCATAATATTTGAATAATGGGCTACATTTAAGCATTTCCAAGGCAAAACCAATGACGATGGGGAAACAGCGGAGCAGCAATTATAACACAGTGGAACCTGTCTAATCCGAACTCGTCTGGACCAGGAGAAAAGTTTGGATTAGAAAGGTTTCGGGATTAGAAGGTTTTTTACATGTTTTTTCATGTTATTGGCAGAATAGGTTAAGGAAAGTAAACGGAAATGCATTTGAAATTGCAATATAAATATTTTATTTTTGCAATCTCTTATCGTTCATTTTAATACACGTGAATACAAAAATGAATAAATAAAAATAAACAAATAAGCAAAAATGTTATGTCCTCAAGGGTAAGTTAACCTACGATGTTAAACAGGAGGCTGAGACATGATTAAATATTCGTACCAGCATTTGTCAATTGTTGTTTACTCTTATCCGATTCAGCGATTATCCGAATTCACTGACAGTTTCCATTAATTTCCGTTACTTAATCACATGTCATTAAATTCATTACAAAAGATGAAAAGATATTTCTATTGCATTATATCAAAATATGTATTGTGGGTGACGAAAAACAATCAATTAAGCAATTATAGTAGATATTAAGGCAAGCTAATTGTAATTTTCACACCTTCGCAGATCATACGTTTCACCCATTAATCAAGCGAAATTACTCTTATCAGTTGGTGCATGTTTACACCTGCAAGATGTGCGATTATTTCTTATTTTGAATGTAGGTGTGAAATTTGTCAAAATCTGTTCGGATCCGAGAGGTAAATTTTAGAGTAAAAAAAGAACAAAAAATGAAAAAATCGTCCGAAATTCAGAGTAAACAGGTTCCGGATCTGAAAGGTATTTTACTATTGAAAATAGAACAAATAAAATCGGGACCGGCCACTTTGTTCGGATAAGACAGGATTCCTGATTAGTTAGAAGGGTTCGGATTAGCAAGGCTTCACTGTAGCTCGACTTTTTCTTCAAAAAAGACAAGCTAAAAACTGACTCCCTAATAGCGTAGAGTAGGGTTAGACTTCACAGTACAACAGACAGGCCTGGTTCTGTACTAGTTACACAAGTAAGGCATTTAGGCAATTATGATTCAGAGATATTACCATCAAATATAAAAAAAAAAATTCTTTTTGTTTAACCCTTAAAATCTTGAATTTGTATAATAAATATGCCCTTAATAGAATGTAAAAAAGATGAACACTTTAGAAGATTTCATTATCATATTACAAACATACTGATGGCTAAATAATAAAGTGTTGATATTACTACCTTTTCTACTCCTTTGCCATACAAATTGATGATTCCAAGACCACACTGTCCTATTGGATTGCCCTAGATAAAAAAAATCACATTATGCAATAGTTAGGAAATTCGAGATACAACTTCCTTATTGAAGTACTAGAAATTAATAATACAAAATATTCTTCCTGTATATTTGTCTCTCATAAACCAATAAAGACTTTCATTTTTTGAGTCAGTTAGTTTAAAAATATTTATTTCAGCTTTACTGCAAAACAAGTTCTTGCAACTGATATTAATCACTTTAGAGCCCACTTCCTGGTACTAACCAGAGTAGGGCTCAAACCCATGACACCTGGGTTGAGAGGCAGACATCTTAACCTCTTGACCAGCGTTCTCCTTTGAGTGTATCTGATCAGTATATTAATAAAATATTTTATTTTGTTTAGAGCTGTAGAAATAAGTATCATTTCTTAATATGAGAAACATAAATTGAATCACAAATATGCTACAATAAAAACACTGTAATATCATAACTAAAATATAGATTTAATCTAAACTGTTGTCTTAGAAACTAGAAATAAACAGGGAATCAAATTTGAATATATTATTGACAGAGTATTTGCTAAATAATTGTAGAGATGGCCCCTACACTGTACTTCGCAAAATCAATGAGTTAAGACAAACAATGTTGTATTTAGCCAATGAAATATTTTTTTTTATATCTCACCTTATCTGCAGCTTTTTTAAAGTACTGATATGCTAGCTCATCATCCTGAGGTACAACAGGACTACCTTCTGAATGCATCTGAAACATACAAGTATATGTGTACTTCTCATACAAGTTAATAAAATTAACCAAACAAACCTATCAAAAATTTAATAACACCTCAATCCCCAAATATCACATTCCACTCTACTCTTCATTGTACAAAATATATTCTGGGAAGTATAACATCAGTATAACAACATTCATCTTTTGAAACAACTGTAAATATATTTCTAATAAACTCTAAGAAATAACCTGAAACCTTGTTGCTTTTTAACGATCTTGAAGATTTTAAAATGCAGGCAAGTTAGCCAACTTAACAGTTTTGGTTTAAATGCACATTTTAAAATAAACTGCTTTAATTGGATTGTAAATTGTATAGCAACAAGCTTACCTTTCCTAGAAAAGCATGAGCATTTCCATTACCAGATTCTGCTGCCATCAAAAAGTAATGATGAGCACGCTGTAAAATAGGATAAAATATGATAAAATATTCTTGTCAAAAATATTCTTGTGTTATAATACATTTTTTTGTATTCTTGTGATACAATACTCTTAATTAAATGAAAATACAAATATAGTAATATGTATTAAAAGAATATAATGTATAAAAGAAAAGTGATTTTCTTTTCAGGGGAAACCATGTAACATGATTAATCTTATACTTTTAGGGCAAATTACATGTACTACTGACTTCAAAGAAAAATATTGGCTTCATTCAGACATAATTGCACTCTTACAAAAGGAAGAGAAGAAAATTTCTTACAATTTAGCAGTATATCTCCCAAGGGTAAAATGAATACCAAAATATAACTATAATTGGGTAAAAAAAAACAGCAATATTAAAGTTCTTAAAGTACAAACACTAAGGAGGAAGTTGTATACATGTATATTTCAAATACCTCATGGTTGACAGGAACACCTCTACCACCCTGGTAGTATAGTTGACCTAACACAACCTGTAAAAAAGAATATTCATTTATTGTCCTAAATAAATCTAAGCTCACTTTCATATCAGGACAATGAAGAAATAATTTTAAATCAAATGAAAGTTATGAATACAAAATTACTGTGAAATGGTTACTGACCAAACTGAAGTGGAAATACTGAATTTTGTAGACACATTGTTCATCATTTCAATAAATTAACTGATATAATAATGCAAAACCTACAAATATTGATGTATTTATATATCTTCCAATATAACATAAACAAGCAAATTCGTTGAATTTATATCCCCCGCCGAGTACTGGTTATTATTAACACAACAACTGAAGACATAAGGCTATGCAACAGACCAGAACCATTTGATCAACTTTGGCAGGGGACCACCCTAGGATCATTCCTGTAAAGTTTGGTTGCTGTGCAGTCATATGTTTCTGAGGAGATGTTGTTTAAAGAAATTGCTGACGACGCATGACGACGGACGGTGGGGGATCACAATAGCTCACCTAGATGTAAAAACATCTTAATCTCCAGACTTCATTATTCGTAATTTAGTGATGTTGATCATTATTCCTGTAAAGTTGGTTGATTCTAACTCAAGCACTCAAGGATCAAATAACAACATAATGAAACAGTTTTTACTAAGTCAAGGGAAATAACTCTACAAATACTGGATAAATCCACAAGCGAAACCCCAGGAACAAACTAAATATGCTGAGCAACTTTCCAATAAGGTTAAATGACTCTATGTCAAATCCTTTTTGAGTTACATGCGACACATGTTGAAAATTGCAAACATTTTCTAAGTCAAGGGCAATAACTCTAAAAATACTAAATAAATCCAGACGAAAATACCCAGGTGCACAACTACACATGCTGATCAACATTCCTGTAAAGTATCATGACTTTAGGTCAAATACTTTTTGAGTTACATGTGACACAAGTTGAAAATTGCAAAATTTTACTAAGTCAAGGGCAATAACTCTAAAAATAGTAAAAATATCCGGACGAAAATACCCAGGTGCACAACTACACATACTGATCAACATTCCTGTAAAGTTTCATGACTCTAGGTCAAACACTTTTTGAGTTACATGCGACACAAGTTGAAAATTACAAAATTTTACTAAGTCAAGGGCAATAACTCTAAAAATGCTAAAAATATCCAGATGAAAATACCCAGGTACACAACTACACATACTGATCAACATTCCTGTAAAGTTTCATGACTCTAGGTCAAATACTTTTTGAGTTACATGAGACACAAGTTGAAAATTACAAAAATTTTACTAAGTCAAGGGCAATAACTCTAAAAATACTAAAAATATCCAGAAGAAAATACCCAGGTGCACAACTTCACATGCTGATGAACATTCCCATAAAGTTTCGTTGAATTCCAGCCATTAGTTGCAGAGAACTACTCCGGAAACGAAATTCGGACGTTTTACTAAGTCAAGGGCAATAACTCTAAAAATACTAAAAATATCCAGACGAAAATACCCAGGTGCACAACTTCACATGCTGATCAACATTCCCATAAAGTTTCGTTGAATTCCAGCCATTAGTTGCAGAGAACTACTCCGGAAACGAAATTCGGACGTTTTACTAAGTCAAGGGCAATAACTCTAAAAATACTAAAAATATCCAGACGAAAATACCCAGGTGCACAACTTCACATGCTGATCAACATTCCCATAAAGTTTCGTTGAATTCCAGCCATTAGTTGCAGAGAACTACTCCGGAAACGAAATTCGGACGGACGGATGGACGGACGGACGGACGGACGGACGGAAGGACGGAAGGACGGACGGACAACGCCAAAACTATATCCCCCTCCCGATTCCATCGGCGGGGGATAATTAAAATTAAGATACAATATAAAATGAGAATTCAAAGTCTTTGAAATGATCATTAAAACATCAAATAATTTTAGTCCTTACGCTACATGAAAGTATGTAATCAATTTCAATTTAAAACTTATTTTAGGAATGCCGGTATCAATAGATTAAAATTGAGCAACACAATAGTATAGAGCCTGGTCAAACTGCAAGAATAAGTTGGCTGCCTTAACTCTATACTGTTGGAATTAACAACACATTATTGCTGCTGGCATTATAATTGCTAACCTGTGCTTGGACATCTCCTTTGTCAGCGAGGAATTCATAGTATTGTAATAGATCATCGTCCATTAGGGATCCTACATTACTGTCTTTGTTGTCAGCCTGCTCGTGTAACCGGGTTCTCTGGACAACCGGACTACCAGATGACGTATTTTCTGCCACTGTAACAATACTAAAATAGTGTAAACAATCCAGACATAAAATCTTGTGTTTATAACATTAGACATGAAATCTAGTGTTTATAACATTTTAGTGGCCTATGTGGTAGAGTGGTTAAGGTCATTGACTTTAAGCCACTTGCCCCTCATCGCTGTTGGGTTTGAATCCCACCAGGGACTTTGGATTCTTTCATGTGAGGAAGCAATCCAGCTAGCTTATACAACCTAAGTGGTTCTACTAAGGTGCTTGAAATAATTCACAGGACATAATTTCTTCCTCCAATGGAAAACCTTACCATTACAATGTTGGTGCCACATAAAAAACCCAACCAAAATTTTAAAAAACAAAAAACATGAAAGAAAATATCATTCTACATACACAAAAAGTAGTGTTAACAATCAAGACATAAAATCTGCATTATTACATTTTACATCTTTCAGCAATAATGAAACAAAAACAGGCTTAGTACACTTATTGTCAGTTTAAAATTTAAAACATAAAGAAGGAAAAACTGGTTTCTCATCATATGATTTCAATGTCTTTTACTTATTCAAAAAATAATGTTAATATAAAATTAGGTTGTATTAATAACATAATCATTAAACAACAAATGACCTTCACAGTATAGATAAACATAACATACAAGAGGGCCATGATGGCCCTGTAATCGCTCACCGTATATAGGCACCTGGGCCAAGGCCAATTTTAAACCAGGGGCTTCTATTTGAACAAACTTGGTAGACACCCATTAGAAGATATTTCATGATAAATATCTAAGCTCTATCTCTTTGGGGCTTTTATAAGAAGGTATTTTTAAGTTTTTACTATATACATATAGGGGAAAACAATGACCCCCCCCCCCCCCAAGAGGGGCCAAGTTTTTACTATACACATATAAAACCTGGGGCGGGGCCAGGGGCCAATTTTTACCCCAGGGCTTTTATTTTATTTGGCCCTGTAATCGCTCAACGTATATAGGCACCTGCGCCAAGGCCAATTTTAAACCAGGGGCTTTTATTTGAACAAACTTGGTAAATATCCATTAGAAGATGTTTCATGTTTAATATCTAAGCTCTAGCTATTTGTGTTTTTAAAGGAAGTTTTTTAAGTTTTTACTATATACATAGAAGGAAAATCAATGACCCCCCTCCCCCCCGCCCGGGCAGGGCCAATTTTGACCCCAGGGCATTTCTTTGAATAAACTTGGTAGACACTGACTAGATGATGTTTCATGCCATATATTTCAGCTCTAGCTCTTTCGGTTTTTCTAAAAGAAGATAAGTTTTTTTCTTTTGGTTGCCATGGCAACCAGAGTTCTGCTTGGAATTAAATTCTTTGAACAATTTTTAAAGTTGACTACCAAAGGAACATTCCTGTGAAGTTTGGATGAAATTGGCTTAGCGGTTTATGAAGAGATGTCGTTTCAAGTAAAAGTTTACAGATGGACGCCGGACTAAAAGCGATCACAAATCACAAAAGCTCACCATGTCGGTTTGTGACAGGTGAGCTAAAAATTAAGATATATCTATACTCTTTACCTATAGTTATACAAGGTAAAATGTCAGAATAAGACAAATCAGTGTGACATACCTGTAGTTGCAACTTTCCTGTAATATGTCAAAGCAGTCTCACATTTAGATTCAACACCTATACCGGACAAAAATCTGTAGCCCTGAAAATAACAGTTCAAATTTATATCTTAAATTTTCCTCTTATTTCACTAATTGGCAGTACTAAACTGAGACTGACTGATTTTTAAATCAAATTATGGAGAAATAATAAGTGGGTCTTTACTATAACAAACTGTATATCGAATTAAAACAGAAATTTGTCTCGATATTTCTTAACCTTAAATAACCTCCTTTTAAATTAGCTTTAACAGTTTCCAATTAGATTTTGATTTATGACCTAAGAAATAGATAATATATGGGCAATTCTGGGAATAATCTCATTTCAAAAACAATAAAATGTCTCAAGGTTATCTAGAGTATTTGTCTTACTGAGAAAATATTGCTTAAATCTATAAGAAAATGTGATAAATCAGAAGTTTACTTATACACTACAAATTAGCACAAGAAAAAATAATGAGGCCATTTCATTTACAACTATTTTCAAGACAAAAGTTATAAAAGCTATGTAACTTTAATACAAGAACTGTCAACAGGACAGCACACTTGACTATTCTCTGTGCTTGATAGTAAAACAAGGGCCTGGATAATGTAGAATTGTCTATGTTCAAACAGAATCATGTTAGATGTATGTCAGAGTTATGGACCTTGGATAATGATCTCCAATTATATTCTCAAATAAGTGTGACATTTTAACCTATTTCAATCAGTTGTTTTGGAGATACCAAATTGCACAGTGTTTGACGAACGCCAAGGCTCACACTTATGCTCGGTTGAGTACAATAGCCCTCCCTATTCTCCGAATAGTCATGCTAATGAAAAGATATGGAATTTCAAAACACTAGATCAAAAGATGTGTAATTTTAAGATATCATATTAAAAGACATGTGTCTTTAGAACAAACACCGTTTTGTAACACATTTTATATACTTTTAAAATACATGCATGTAAATGTTTGAAGTGCCTTTTGATTTTTTTTCATTATGTACAGAGTTTGGTTTTGTCTTGCTGACACTGTTAAGGTCATGCACAACATAACTTTACAACATAAATAGACACTCAAGTATAATCACTGACCTGACAGTTAGCTTGATATTTGCAAATGAAGCTCAAAAAATATTCTAGATAGCTTGATCAATGTTGAAATATTTCCAAGATATTTTCAAAATGAAATTGTGCAAACCTGATATAAATGTTTTTGACTAATTAACTACTCAAATATGTTCTTAACCAGTGTCACAAAGACGTTAATTCAAGAATTCTAAAGTGTTCTTATATAAAAACATTTCTCTCATACAAAAACTTACAAGGACCATCTGTGCCAAGGGATCACCACCAAGGGCAGCAAAGGTAAAATAGATCAGTGCCTGGAATAAAATAAAGAAAGGGATAAATACTATATACACAAGAGGGCTATGATGTCTCTACATTGCTTTACAAAGATCCATTGCTAGAGGGAGTTATAAATTCTTCTATGTATGAAGTAGATCATAAGATTTAATTCAAAGTCTAAGTCATCTCAGGGCAAAAGATTTCATAAAATTTGAACCATTAGTACTACTTTTGTAGAGAACGACCTAAGATTCATTCCTATAAAGTTTGGTCATAATCTACCATGTAGTTTATGAAGAAATGTTTAAAAAAAATCATACTTACATTAGCAATGCATCAAATTATTAAGAAAATTGAAATATTATTGAATGATTCAACATACTACAAAAAATATATCATCAATACTTTATCATACAGCATATAAAACAGGCTTTGAAATACACACATTGAATTCAAAAGAGTAAGTTCAAAGCTTCAAGGAAAAATACCTCGCAAAATATGAAAACACACTGTATAGTCAAAGGGAAGTTACTCTTTTGCCTTACATTCAATGAATTAAAACTAGTTATCTTTACTGAATATCATATTATTAGAAAGATACACAGTACTTCAGCGGTAAAGATTGCTTTCTTTTTTTTTCTAACAGTCCATATACAATACATATAATTTTTTCATGTGACATACTATCAGTGTGCACATCTCTTCAGTCTGACCATTCAGTATACAGTCTGGTGCACAATTTTCACTTTCTGTAACAACAATGTATTAGTTTTTTAAAAATTAAGCCTTTTAGTACAGTTTTCTACAGTAAACTCTGGAAATCCTTTAATCAGGATTGTTTTGTTGTTGTTGTTTTTTTGTGCGGTTCAATTGGATTTTATGTTGCAGAAAAACAGCATAGGTCATATGGTGACTTTCAGGCTTTACTGGTTGAAGACCTCAGGTGCCCCTCTGTACATTATATTAAGCAAAAATGGGCATCTGAGTAGAACCACCAACATTTTATAACCTAGCTGGATAGCTTTCTCACAAAGATGCTGATGTGACTTGAACCAACAGTGATGAGAGGCAAGTGGTTGAAGTCAACGATCTTAACCACTCAGCCATAGATCCCTCTAAAATAATCCTGAAAAATTTTCATCCAGGTAATTCCTATTTCAAAGGAATGCAAGACAATCATACAAATTTTGTTGCTGTATTTGTATGGTTTAAAATGTAAAACAACCAACCTTAGCCTGACTTGAGTTCACTGCAAGACCGGAACTATACGAAAACCCTAAACCCTGAAAAAAATAAAATAACAAATAACAAGTTGATGAATTATACAAGGCTGTAAATAACTATATGATGAGTATTCTATTTTTCAAACTTGTCCTCTATTCAGTTCATATTGCCCAAAACTTTTTTTTTACAAAACAACTTTGCCTTGAACTATTTTAATATGACTGTAATGTCAGATATAAATCAGCCTGCTAACCTTTTTAACTGTATCAAATCTAAATCATAAAGAAACATGCATAATAAGTTTTTTGAATATATACATGTTTAATGAGGCCAATTTGAATTAACTATAATGTGAAACAATGTTATGTCATGTGTTAATTATCTTCATTAATTCATATAAATTTACCAGTTGTCCCTTGGGTGAACCTTTCTCACTAAGATCTTGAAATATTTTAAGAGCTTTAGCAGGGTCAAGGGTGACATAGTCTCCTAACAGATGTCCAAATCCAAGATATTCAAGAGCCTTTGTATGACCTAGTTCTGCTGCAAGATGAAAATACTCATATGCCCTGAAAGGAAAACAATCATAAAGACTGAAATTTAAAACCTAAATTCTTTGACATTTACTTTCTTAAAAGTGTACCTAGATTGTACGTTGTAATTGAATTAATTTTGTAAATTTACATATTACATTTTGAGCTTCCACTAAAGACTGAACAGACTGCAAATATCAAAATTGAATCACTATATGCAGGACAGACTGCAAAGAAGCTGAGGCTGAACATTTATATTCAAACAGTGAAAAGGAAAGGATTCATTTTAATAGCTCTATGTAGTGAATAATACCTCAAAATACTAACAGTGGGTTAACAAATATGAAGTAAAACATGGTACGCTTCTAAATCAGAGCTAACTGGAGTATAAACTTTCAGATTGACCATTCAATAACCTGGCAGTTGTGGCCTAGTACTTGAAGTGTTGGCCACTCAATCCAATGAATCATGGGATCAAGCCCTGTTTTTCACATATCTATACTGGTTAGTTCCAGGAAGCAAATTTTTATAGAGTGGTTCAAATATTAGCTTTAAGCTTTTATAACCTTCAAGCAAAAAATAATGTTATACAGGATCTCCACTGTGATCAAAAAAGTCTAAAACTATAACAAAAAAGCCTAAAACTATAACATTTAAAATTCTTACATAAATCAAGTGACACACCACTAAATTAAAAATTTCTGCACAGGATAATAAAGAAATATGCTCAGAGTGAAATTGAACATTGATTAGTTTGTGTGATTCTAAGCCCTGATTTGAAGGAAAAGCATAACAATGCTCTTCATTTTTTGGTCTATTTTGTGCAATAACAACATTGATTCTTGAAAAGTAGGAAGAGGGAATGATCTGAAAATTTGCGCAAAAGTTATTGATCTAGACATAAATCAAAGGTAAACAAATATTGGAAAAAAATATTCCCAGTCCTGTCATGTCAAAAATCCTCAGTGAAGTCCCTTTTAATTTCAATAACAGCCTCAAATATAAATTCAGATTTCAAGAATGAATCTGAAATTACTGAAAACAATTCATGGAGTCTTCAAATTGTTTTCTCAATCAAAACTACAAATGTAAATGATATCAAAAACCACAACAATTTGAACAATACAGATTTTCTAAATACCAATATTAATTATGCTTTGCACACACAAAATTAATAATTAAAACAAATAGAAACATCAATCAACCCCACAGTGTACCATTATCAATTCAAACAGATGTTTTCCTTAAATAAGGAAATGAAATATGTCAAAAAAAATTATTTTGGTAAAGTTTCATGATGCCTTAGGTAATTTTAAAGGTGAAACACAAGTCATGAAATGTTTGTTTACGTACTGGATATAATCTTTTTTGTATGAATTGTTGATCAATTTTTCACCCTCATCGAAATACTGTTGGGCTGAAAAACAGGAAAGAAACTCGCATTAAAATACCACAAAAAAGAGTATATCAATCTTTAATGCACATTAAAATTCTTAAGCATTCAAGAAATGAAAGAAGAGTAACAATTCAATGCTCATTATCAATTTGTTATCAAATTAATTAATAATTAATATAATGAACTGTAATGTTGGTATTTAAAACACATTGCTTTTATCAAAATAATCAAGCAATTTTATCGAAGTATGTAAATTTATATGTTTCAGAATGATGGAAGTTATAACTTCCACCTTATGAATATATAAATCATATTACAGTTCAATCAATTTTTTTGTCTAGTCAAGTGTCATGGAAAAGAATATTACACTGATCAATACACTGAAGGCAAAAAAAAATTGGACTGTGTGATCATTTTTAGTGTTGGTCACATAAAGGCTGCAATAATGAAGTCTAAATGAATTTTAGAAAGTAACGAAAATGATGATAACGATCAGGTAATTGCTTTGTTCAAATTAGCATACAATGGTAAGAAGACTGCTACCGGTGGAGATTCAAGGTCATTACACTTTAAAGAAAGCAAACTTTGACTAGACGTAAACACATTGTAAAAGGACAATGCCCTTGATGTACAGCAATTAATTTTTTTTATTTGAACCAAACAACATATTTCAAAAACATGTCATATTTACATTGAACAGGTGGCAACAATATTCTAACATAAATACGGTTTATCACATGGAACACTGCCCTGACAGATTTACAGTTTCAAGTTTGTCCTTCCAGTGTTAACAATTAAAGGTAAAGAATCTATTTGCATGAATGCAGCCATAAAATACATTTAGCCCTTAGATATTTTAACTCATAGATACTACCAGTGGAATACAATTATATGAGGTATAAAATGTTTTAATCTTAATATCTGTTAGGATCACATAGCAATAAAGTAAAACTTTTTTGCGCGGGGAGGGGGGCAGAGTGGGTGTTTCTGGGGTCGATAGAGGGATGAGGGGGACTAAGTGCAGGAGTTACAATGGTGGTTTTTTGCCATAAAAGATATAGAATAATAGAATACTTGGTTACCTTGTATTTTTTTCCCCTTCTCCTCTGGAGTTTCTTCAGTTCCGGTAGATGATTGGATTTCTTCCTGTGATTGTGTACGACTATCTCCATCATGTGGAGGTAACGTTTCAGTCACAACTGGTACTTTATCTTCTATAAATAGTAACAAATTTGTAAAGTTTTAATTGGGTTACATATTTCCATTACAAATCCAACTTTATCTTCTATGAATACATAGTAACAAATTGTAAAGTTTGGATTGGGTAACATATTTCCATTATTTTCTATACTTTTCTTTTAATCATATTATGTAAAGGGTGATAATGTACAGTTTTGATAAAGCACTCAAAGAATGATCATTTCTGGTAAGAAATAAATTATATTTTTACAGTCAAAATGTTGTAGATATAAAACAGTCTTAAACTAGAAATGTGTCCATAGGACACGGATGCCCCCACACGCCACTGTTCTGTCAATCTTATGACTCTAGATCAAATATTTTTTGGACTACATGTGCCACAAGTTGAAAACTAAAAATCAACAAAGGGCCATAATTCTGTTAAATTTGGTCGCAGCAAAAATTCCTTCCTTTACTACCATCTACACATTAAGGTTATTAATCCCTGGAAGTTTAAGCAAAATCTGCCATCCCGTTTAAGAGGAGTTGCGTTCACAAAATTTCTACAAAGTATATAGTGAAAAAATCAACAAAGGGCCATAATTCTGTTAAATTTGGTCGCAGCAAAGATTCCTTCCTTTACTACCATCTACACATTAGGGTTTTTCATCCCTGTAAGTTTAAGCAAAATCTGCCATCAGGTTTAAGAGGAGTTGCGTTCACATAATTTCTACATAGTATATAGTGAAAAAATCAACAAAGGGCCATAATTCTGTTAAATTTGGTCGCAGCGAAAATTCCTTCCTTTACTACCATCTACACATTAAGGTTGTTAATCCCTGGAAGTTTTAGCAAAATCTGCCATTCGGTTTAAGAGGAGTTGCATTCACAAAATTTCTACAAAGTATATAGTGAAAAAATCAACAAAGGGCCATAATTCTGTTAAATTTGGTCGCAGCAAAAATTCCTTCCTTTACTGCCATCTACACATTAAGGTTGTTCATCACTGGAAGTTTTAGCAAAATCTGCCATCCGGTTTAAGAGGAGTTGCGTTCACAAAATTTCTACATAGTATATAGTGAAAAAATCAACAAAGGGCCATAATTCTGTTAAATTTGGTCGCAGCGAAAATTCCTTCCTTTACTACCATCTACACATTAAGATTGTTCATCCCTGAAAGTTTAAGCAAAATCTGCCATCCGGTATAAGAGGAGTTGTGTTCACAAGATTTCGGGACGGACAGACGTTCTAACAGGAGAGTAATAATGTGGCTACTCTATTGTTCCCTCTATTGTTCTTTTTAGCCACACAAAAGAAAATAGCCACATAAAAGCATTACGGAATGAATGACATCAAAGAGAAAGAACAGTTACCTATTGTCCCTCTAGCCACATAATTACTGTCCTGTGATTGCTGATGGACGGACGGACGGACAAACAAGTGCAACGCTATATGTTCCCACTTTGTGGGGGCATAAAAATACAATGAAGACTCTAGTTACACTTATAAGTACATTAACAGAACAATTAATTTTGCATTACAATATTTATATTTGGAAAATAAATGGTGACCTTTACAAATGTAGGAAACAGGGTATAAATATATGATGTTGTCTTTCTTAAGGAGTTACCTTTAATACAGGTTTGACTGTAATTATCACAGTTTCTAATATTAAACTTTTGGCCTTTTACTTTAATTTAAAAATAAAAGTATGTAAGCAATACTTCTCTGAACAACTAATTTTCCAAATTTTCTGTTTACTTCTAAAAAAGTACAGTTTTAAATTCACCTGGATGGATTGATGTATGTGCAATAGACTGTATCTAGAATTTAGAATTCCCTAGCTAATATGGGGAAGGGGTGGGGGGGTATAACTACAAACAAACTTTTACAGTTACAACTTTGATAATAAGAGCAAAAGGTTAACTAATCTATTGTGAACGGTAGAGCACCATGAAGCTGTAACAGTAAAAGTTTGTACTGGGGAATAACTTGGAAGAAAACAGAAAATTATCGAGTCTAAGAAAGGTAAATTAAACCTATATACTAGTAAAATCATTGTACCAAATCTAACATTTCTTAATGTTACAAAAGCTGACAACATTACATTAAATATTTATCTTACTATATTTACACATAAAAACTGTAAAATTTTAACAGTGCAAAGTATACTAAATATAATTGAATTTTATCATGAACATCACTTTTACAAATTAGGTTTTACATGTAAATGATTTTCACAATAATTATGAATATGTTTCATTAATAAATTATGTAACATTATCTGAATTACTGACAAATAAACTTTTACTTACACACTTAACTATTCACATTTTTTTTAATTATATTAAAGAGTAAATTTATCAAGACCTCTGAGAAATTTTAGAAAAAAAATGACAATATCAATACAAAATCTATCTATATTAATCTCATTTTATAAATTGTATATGCTTAATTTGTTTTAAAAAAAAATAACAAAATTTCACACATGCAAGAACATATACTTCATTCACTTAAAATATTGCTATAAACTACCGGAATGACAAATCTACCCACCATGATACAGAACTTTATTTACATGTAAATCTTTAGGCTTTAAGTTTAAAGAAAGTCTTTCAAGGAGTATAGAATTCATAGAGTGGACGCATAACAGTCTGACATTTGAACTTCAAGAGTGACCTTGACCCTAGGTAGCACTGCCGCTGTATGAGTTCTGCAACTAGGTGATTCTTACAGCTTAGCTTGAAGAAAATCCCGGAAGGTGTAAAGGACTTATAATGTGAACAAAAATGTTATGCCCTTTGACCTTTAAGTATGACCTTGAGGCAATATTTTGCAAAGGCTTTGAACATCAACATGTTGATGCTAACTTTGAAGGGTATAAAATTTATGGTGTGGACACAAGTTTGAAGTAAGTCTTTAAAGGGTGTAGGATTTATTGTGTGGACACAAAATTGTCTGACATCTGACCTTAAAGGAAAGCTATGAGCAAGCACATACTAGGCATCATGCATTCTGCACACCAGCCTATTGGGTCCTACAATTTTGAGCCGAGTTTAAAGAAAATCTTTCGAGATATATGGTAATGGATTTATACAGCGCATATGAAATCATCTCACATTTGATTCTGTGGCAGCACAACAGTGGCATATGTCTGCTTATTGTCATCTTACTGATGAACATTTGATTTTGAGCCAATTCTAAAGAAATCTTTCACAGGGTATATAAGATTTAAACAGCAGTCACAAAGTGTCTAAAATTTGACCTGTACTGTGTGACCTTGTCTTTTAAGCAGCGATGCTGCAGTATGGGTTCTGCCCATCACTTTTGTTATAGCAGACATTTTAGCCAGCTCTAAAGAAAATCTTTTAAAGGGTCTAGGGTTTAAAGAGTGGACATGAATTTTGGAGACCAAATGACTGACTGTCAGGTCTACACCACACAGTGATTCCAGCATAGTTGGAAGTATAATTAAGATAACAAGGGGTAATTTGGTAAAATCCATTAAACATACATATTTCAACATAAATGGGTTAAGCATTTTAATTAACTTAATTTCATTTCATGATCATTTCTAATCTACCATATAACAAAAAGTCAAAAATATTAATTATGCATAACATTTTTTTTGTAATGGGTGACAGAATGTATGTTAAACCCAGTCTAGATAGCATGCATAAAATTATAAAATATGAGGTAAGTAAATCTTGATAGTTTTGGTGTAAGCAAAAATAAAACTTCTTAAACCTCTGTCCTTAATGCAGTATACAGTATACACTTTGTACTTTTTCACATTTATGATAATTTTTATTCAGACTGATTTATGGAAAGATATACAACTTGACTGTTAATATATAGCTGATGAAAATACTACAGATGTTGCTCTGACAAAACATCACTACAGATTAAGATTAAATTGTTCAGCTGCTACAAGGAGATATCTGTTTATCACTACTGAATTTCTTACATGTTCTTGTCTAGTTTCTATTTTTGGAACTGACAATTATCAGATAGGGTGTTATCAATACAAAATGTGGCATTGTGGCTGAGTGGTTGACACACAGAACTAGTGATCTAAGGATTGCTGGCAGGAATCTGAGTTCAAACACTGTCAGGAGAAAGCGCAAGAAACTTTACACTCATTGCTTGGTAACTGGTTGGTTCAAGGAACGAATTTGAGTGTTTCAATAAGCTTATAGCTTCCAACATAATAAAACTAAAATAAATTTGAATAAACTAAGACCATAAATTCATTTTAGTTGACTTTTTCTTTGTAACAGTCAAGCTATATATGACAATGAAACTTTCTCATCTACTGAAAATTATTAATACATATCAAACTTACAACCCTTGAAAATAAATTCCCGATAACAAACTTTTAACCATTGAAAATAAAACCCAAATTACAAATATAAAGCTTAAAAGTTAAATAACAGAATTACAGATACATCGTATGGTGTCACTACATGTATAATAGGGTAACACTTGTAATATATTACACATACACTTGTATATATTTAATTTTCACCAAAAATTGACCAATGTTCAAACTTGATTGTTTACTAAAATGCTGAATTAATGCCAAAAATATTAAAACATTAATGACATAGAATTATAGGATACTATAAAATCATTTTTATTCGTGGGGTACGAATTTTCGTGGTTTTCGTGGGTACATGTAGGTCAATCCATTAACTATTTTATCTTTGACTTATGCCCAGAGGCAAAGATTAAATTTATTGACCAGTGCTGTGTGACACGTAAAGATATGTACATGCGTTTAGTAAAAATGTGCGGCGAATAAGTGTAAGATTACTTTGCATAAGGTTATTTATATTCATTTTTTTACAAGAAAATGAAAATCCACGTATTTAAGAACCCACGAAAATGCCCATTATGACAAAACCACAAAATTTCATGCCCACGAATATTTATATAAGTGAATTCGCAGTAATAAACAAGGAAAATCAATATTACAAGAACTACTGAAAAAATTACTTAATTTAGGAAATAATACAAGCCTTTACAAGGCATTTCTACTGACTAACTAATAGGTCACTGACATTAATAAAATATATATCCACTAAGGTTTATATATATTATATATATATATATCACTATGTGACAGTAAGAAATTTCTATATATATGCAAAAGCCATTTTTTCTCATATCCAATTAAAATATAAATAACCTGTTAATTCTTAAGCAATAGTTCTCCTTCTTTCATAAAATCTAATTCTTAAATTGCATACATTTATGATCAATAAGCAAATACCAGCAACCAAGCAAATAAGCGGATATGATCATAAGAGAGGGTTCTTTGAAAAAACTTAAATAACTCATCATGGTGCCTATACCATGTGACTTTCTTTAGATCTGCATGGGGCAGAAAACCAATACAAAAATAGGTCCAGGTTTAATCTTTTATTTTCTGCCATAACTTCTTTTATACTTCATTATTTTTATGAGACAAAGACTAGTGTAGAACCCAATCATTGGAACCCATACAAAGAATGTTTCCTGAAGAAAAAATTGTTATTTTCTTATAGAATGAAACCACATGACTATAATTATGATTGTTCAAAAACACTGTTTTGCTTTAAAAATACTACAACATTTTATGTATGTGTTACTCACTAGATCATGATGAGAGAGCTCTACAGTTTTGCGAATTATATAAAAAAAGTGATGGAAGAAAATCAAGCCTGTGCCATCTATTGTATTGGTTTTTTGCACAAAGTTGATCATAAAAGAATACATGGTATAGGTTAAGGCAGTGTTATTACCGTAAGAATTATGATATTTCAAGCTGGCAAACATTTAGTTGGAAATGATTTCATTTATGAATAATGTGGTTTTAGACCTCAATCTTGGCTACTGATTCTTAGTTTATGATGATCTCTTGATATATCAATATAATATTTAGCTATTATTACCTCTTGACTACATTTAAATGCATTATGAATAAAAAAAAAATTTATCTTTATATTTTCCATTCACCTGCATATGGGCTTTCATTTCCAGACAAAGTAGTGAAGAATATGGCAAAACTTAATAACCATAATAAAGATTTATGAGACTCTCATGAATGAGTTTTGTACATAAATTTTCATGGAGAGAAAGATCTACAATATTAAGGACAGCTGTTACTTAAGAAGAAAATCCCTTCATGTTAATTAAAAGATTATCTATCGGTACATGCATGTAACTTCATATATGAATCATTTAAATGTAGTCCAGATAAAGAAAATTTTGTTTTTCAAGATAATTTTGGAAATAAAATAAAACTAAAAGTAACCAACTAATTACTTATTAAAATCATATTATAAAGAAGCTTTTCTTAATACATATTTTGTCTACTTTATATTTAAACCTAGGACAAAGTAGAATATATATGATCATAAAGGTACTAGGGTACGAAACTTAACAATGTAATGAAATCATTTCCCTATACCTGCTATGTTAATAAGCTTTAAATATGAAATCATCAAGTAAATTGTGTTAGTAAATGTGCCCCCTTCTCAAATATATAACAAGCAGTAAGAGTAAATGATATAGCATAAATCCCAGTGGGCTAGGGTACTTATATTAACTCCCTCCTTATTTACCTGTAGTTGTGGTTGGTGCTAAATTCTCTCGTGTTTCTGCTGTCATTTCATTAAAAGTTTCTTGAATTACTTCTTCTTTAAAAACATTTGTGTCATAAACTGTTCCTGTTATATCATTTTCAGATGTTTCTAATTCCTCTGACACTGTTTTTATATCTTCCTTTTCAGTAGCAGAGTTAGCATCTACTGCTGCTGTCATTTCTTTGCTCATTACTTTAGACTGGTGTGTTCCTATATTCAACTCTTGAACAGGTGTTGGATTGACATTGGTTTTTACAGGAGCAGGAATTTGCTTTTCATCCAAATCAGTTTCTCTTTTATTTTTGGCTAGTCTCAGATTTTTCCTTTCTTGAGCATTTAAAACTTTTTTCGATGATTTCATATCCACCTTTGCTGTAGGCTGTATTTGTTCCGTGACATCAATTTGCGACATTGTCTGCACTGTTGACTTTACATTTTCAAAACTTGGTGTCAGTCTTACTTGTATTTGTTCATTGGTTTGTTTGTTAATATTTTCATTTATTTGTTCATCAGTTTTTGATGGTAAAATATCTGAAGATGGTGGTTGTGTATTATCTATAAAAAGTTCTGAACTTGGTTTACCAGACTGTTCATCAGATTTCCCTGTAATATCCTGATTATAAACATTATCATTTATTTCTGCTGCTGCTTCTTCTAGTTCTTCTTCACTTGGTAAATGTTCATTATCATATGAAGGTACTAAAGATGGTATATCAATTTCTCCTTCGGTAACTTCCTTTTCAAGTTTTTTAATCTGCTTCATAAGTGTCTCTTTGCTATCCTGCTCAATAACTTCTTTAATCTCATTTACTTGCACATTAACATCATGTTTATCATCTTCTATATTTTTTCTATTAACTTCAAACTGTCTGGATTCTATTTCAACTTGTTCAAATT